AAATCCAGTTCAGAAAATGAATGTTAAGCACAGCTCTTGACGACGCCGTCACTTGACAACTGGGATACATTGTATCATAAGGCGATTTCGCCATTGTGAGAACATCATGTACATGTTGTCATGTAGACAAACCGAGATGGTTTTGTCTACTATACAGCTAGGCTATACGGTTTAACCTAAATAACGATAAAAAGTACAGTATAGTAAATACATAACCCATAAAGGGAGCGTTCATAGAGTGGGGGATACCTGTGCTTTTATAGTAGCTAGTTATAAGTCTGCTTTGATGTTTTCTGAGTGCCTGATTGTGTTACATGCATGTAAGAATTCCTATGTGCTGATGTGCAAAAGGTAAATAAAGGATCTTGAATCTGTATCTTGCATGGAGGTCTGAGAGCAGCAGGCCATGAGGGGGCCTGACGGGGACGGGCAGGATGAGGAGAGCCGGGGCATGGAGCTGGAAAGTCCGGCCGTGCTTGATACCGGTGCTTGAGCTGAAAGGACTGCGGAGATTGAGAGGGGAGGTGGACGCAGAGCTGGTCAGGCGGCTGGAGGAGGGCGACTGCGGCTAGCTGGCAGGATCGTGAGCCCACAAGAGCCAGTTAATTTCCTGACAGGCATTAAAAATTCTCGTGACATGGTGGAGCAGTAAGAGCGGAAAGTGAAAAGCATGCAGTTAAAAGTTACAGTCGACTTTTTTCATCAAAATACTAGCGTTCTGCCTTCCACTTTGTCTTCGTAAAATAACACGTTAAAGTGGTTTTGGATTTCAGGAGAATATCGATTCATGAATTCTGGTTTATTTTAAGGTTGGTATGGAAATCCTCAGGGGAAAACAAGTCTACTAAGAAGGACCAAAGCTTGGATGGGTTATGGTACAAGATGAGAACCTCATCGCCAGAAGGACAAACCCGATATCTCTCATACCAGCCGACGGTCACATCTCAGGAGTGGCGGGGGCCATCTTTGTAATGGGCACAACACAATTAGCTGATGGTTCTATAACCCATTGTACATCACCAATCCATGTGTAACACCTGATTGGCTTGAGCAAGCCTAATATTTAATGTCTCACTGCCTTGGTGGGTCTATTCAGATTGACTTGGCAGATAAATTGCTATTGACTTAAAGTCAACAGCAGCGGTGTGAGATTTAGCCGCAACAATACTTTCAGTCGATAGCGAACAAACGACACATTGTCCAGCTGCATTTTATTGTATGAATAATGGCACAGAAAAGTAGCAGAAAGTTTTGAACCAAAATGATGTTTTGTTGTTGTTATTGTAGCAATTGCTGTACAATTATAATAAAGTTTGCTCTGTCCATTCATCTTCTAGCCACTTATTGAGTACAGGGCTGTGGTGAAAAAGGATAATTGTGAAACATAATAAACCTTTACTGCTACTCAATAAAAATGCAAATATAATGTATTATTATGGAACGTCTGACCAGAAAAAAATCCTACTTGTTTCAATAGTCTGATTGTCAGGTACTAGAAATGTCAAAATCTAAAAAACGTTTCTACATCTTTTTTATTGTTTTTAAGAACGTAAAGTTCGTCGTGAGGACAAAATCGGCATCCAAATGAAAAGGTCGCGGCTAAACCCTTTAAAGTTCACCCTGCCACACGCAACATGGGCCAGTGAACATAGAAGCCTCATAATTACTGCTCACGCTTCACAGCTTAGCAAAAGATCTGAGGCTGCATAAATGAAACCTTCTGTGCAATGTGATACCACATAAAAATAAAGATTAATGCCAAACTAGTGACAGGTACTTAGTAATGCTCAGTGCATAACATACCTTCTGATACATACATATATAATACAGATCTTAGAATATATCTGTCTTCCAAAAGCATATCACTTGTAAACCTAAATAATAATTTTTTTCTGTAGATGACTTGTGACCAATCTGTTGAAATAACTCACCTCTTTTTTATTTTATTCGTCCCTGTTTTCGTTACTCGATGGGAGTTTTAGGCTTAGTTTTCCTTCCTTATGGTCACTGTGCAGTTTGTCACGTGACTGTTGCATCTTCTTTCTTCATCTCTATGCCGAAGTCTCAGGTATCAGACACCCCCCCCCCCCCAGCGTGTGCGGGTCCTCTCTCCTCTGAATCACAGTTAAAAAAAATACACAGGATGCCACAGGAATCCTTACTGCTAGTTTTTGCTCGGTGCACAAAAGTTTTAAATTCTTCCTCTGTGTCACTGGCTGATCTTCTCACTCTTGTCGAAGTCTCTGAGGTCTCTGACCCTGCCTGTATTTTGAGAAATGACTTGTTAATATACCAAACAGTTCCCAGATGCTTCTCAGGAAACAGTTTTGGCCTGTTAGGAATACGGCTATTTAATAAGGATGAATACATTGCATTAATCTGCCTGTAGCTGACACACCGATGACATTCGTTTGAAAGCAGCAGGGAGTCATCGCCTTATTTCAGGCTTTTTGTCGTTCAGGTGCTCCTGAGGCCATGGCAGTGGTGAATCCAGGTTACTCTTGGGGGGGGGGAGACAGTAAAATGGGGGAGGCATTCATAGACAAAACATGAAGACTGTCACAGAAATGTTTTCCCTCCTTTTTAAATGTGACCTGAATTTACTTAACATTTTGATTTATAGGAGAGAGTGATATGGTAGCTGTATGGAGGATCAGCATTTTTTTTGATGAGTTTCAAAATAGCTTTACTATTTACAGATGGAAGACATATTGTTTGTATAATATATGCATTCTTAAAAAGTCTATTAAAACATCGGCATTATAAATTTAATTTTAATTCAATTAATGTTTTTGTACATGTGCTGCAATAAAACGGTGACAGGAAATTAATACATCAGAGACAAAGCAATAATTAGCAGGATGGAAAGCTTCACGCTGCACATTTTGCAACTTACTGCTTTTTGAACCAATATGAATGAAGGTTTTCCCAGCCCCCCAGGACTGTGCAGTGGGCAGAGGCCAGGCTGCAGATTTAGCATTAAAATATTAATCAATCCGCAGTGTTCGACAAATACAAGCGACGCGAAGGGATGTTAAATTACAGCTGATATGAATCCCCGACGCCTGTTATCCGTTTCACCTTCACATGAGCGCGTTTGCAGTCCATGAAAAGCAGCCCGTGAAAGTGTCTTACACGCTTTAGAAGTGTTAGGATAAAACTGGAAATCGTCTTCGCTGTTGGTCAGATTAATCATCTTATTCTTCCATCTCAGTTCGTCATGTTTTGGTACCGATGGCCTGAACGGGACGGTACGCGGTGGTAATGCTGACAAGTTCGGTACTTAAAAGGTAAATCCCGAATCTCTCTAAGACCGGTGCGTCTTATGGACAGCTATTCTCAGGCGTAACTGTTAAGTTTTCGCGAAACAGCAAATTGCTGACATCGTCCGGAAGCCCTCGGCCGTGGAGATGAAGCTCACTGCATGTCGGCTGCGGACGCGCGTCTTTCCCCACCGTCCGCGAGTACCGTTATTTTGGTGAATATGTTGCATTCTGTACTTAGAAAATCGCAGCCAAATTTAATAAATATTTTACCGTACCACGCATCTTCACACCGTATCCAAGAGTCCCGCGTTTCGCCTTACAGTCTCCCGGCTGGGTAGTGGAGTGAATCCGGGCCCTAAAAGCACTAAGCTGATACAAGCTTAAATATATGACAATTTAAATAAACAACACGAGAAGCAGGATTTTTAATATTTTGAAATAATTTAATAACTTTCCTCACTATCATAGTTAGGCTTAATTTTTTTTTGCTTAAGGGAAGCACGAGAGATCGTCAGTTTACCTTGACGAAGGCACGTTGCACTTCAATTTTAGTGTGACAGGCTTGTGTATGTATTTTTTTTTAGCTTGTCAGTGTTTATTGAGATTGTTTTAGATTGTCAGTTTGTATATTGTGTGTGCGTGTGTGTGGATGAAATTACTGTTCATTTTATTGCTTACCTGTTTGCCTTCAATTGTTCTGGAGACAAATAAAGTAGTTTGAACTGAATTAAATGGAACAACATTAGACAGATAATCTTTTTGGCTTTTTTGTGTTCATTAACAAATTATAATAATCATTTTTAAATTAGCCTATTTTTAATAATTGTTATTTGTGTTAGTTTACATCAATAATTGTTTTGACAGGCAATTTAAGGTTGCGATATAAAAATTATACTGAAAAGAGAACTGAAACCTTGTCGTAAAATAAATATGATAGGGGAGAAAAAATATACAAAACAGGTTAAAACATGGTATTCAAAAAAGAGATGATGTCATTTTGCCTCCTCAGCCTCTGATGACAAAATCATGTGACTAAGAGAGAGTCGTGACAAGATCACGTGACTGAGAGAGAGTCATGGTATAATGGAGAACAGGATCTGTGTGTCACACTGGACACCACCTGTTTTGTCACTGCTTCCTGATTTATTGTTTTTGCAACCTCCATAAAGAACTAACATTGAACTTATTGAATTGATTTATGATTTATTGACACACTCCATTAGAATAACAATGGTTGTGTTTACATGTTGTTTATTGTTATTATTAGATGTTCATTTATAATTGGTAGTTGTATTGAACATGATATATGATTATCATTTTCTTCCTTTGAAAACTGATGTGATTTTTTCTCATTAAAATGATGCAGTTTTAAGATGATTAGTGTATGTGGTATTCAGTGAATGTGTTTATTTGTCCTTGGGCCGGCTAGAGGCCTGTTCTGTTCAGGACAGAGGGAGAGAAATCGTACTGCACACATTCCTCGTATGGAGTCCGCTGAGAGTGACCCCCGCTGCTAATGTGTGACCCCAATGCTTGTCATTCATTTACACCAAAATCTCACAATGTGCGACACCGTGCAAATTAGTGGCAACTGCATGTAGAAAATTCCTATAGAAAATGTCTTTGACAGACTTTTTTCTTTGTTAAAAAAAAAGAAACAAAAAATGTAGAGTTACATGATTGACACCAAAAATCCCCTATATTGAGTTTACCAAGAATTCTTTTGTCTTTCAGAGCAGCCCAACAGGACGAGAGAGACCCTGGCAAATTGTGATGAGCATCTCTGTCCGGCTGGCATTTTCTACGGTAAGTCACAAACCCACAGCTATGTCCGATGACACTTGTCTCGTATATTTAAATAATTGTCCAAATACGAATGGCAGCAACCTGAAAAATGCTTTAACGTTACAGGCAGAATTACACGCGACTGAGCGAAATGGTCCTTGGATTTTCTTCGATTAGGGGACTTTATTTTTTGTGTAATTGCTGTGACGGCATCTGTCTGCATATGTACGACCTCTAAGTGCCCTATACGCTGTTCCGCGCCACCTGTTCCTGATACCATTGGAGCAGGATGTTGCTTTTCTTTCGTCGTGGTTAGACAGGGAACGCCATGAAGGTACTTGACTTGCAGATTTCGCGAGGTGTGGCTGAATTCCGCGAGAAATAATTGAAATTACTGTTGGACTCTGATAGAAACTCATTCTCCCTCTCGCTCTCGCTGTTTCTCTTCAACGCTTAACCTGACAGCAAGTCACGGACTGGGCTACTTAAGTCCAGTTAATGCTGCAGGCTTTCGAGGAGGACGCCGATTTAATCAGAGGTTAAATTAGCCTAGCCGAGGCAGGGACAGCGACGGCGGCGGCGGCAGTGAGATAAGCCGTCCGGTGTGCTGTCTTATTCAGAGCTCCCCGGCTCCTGCTCAGTATGTTAATGCCATGCGGTGTTTTCGGCACCGGGCCGCCCAAACACGCAGTAAGAGAGGCGCTGGCTTTCATTATTTATATATCATGCTTCTGATTAGTCTGCATCTGGATGTGCACTGCAGGGCCGTCTGTCCGTCTGCCTACCCGCCGTCTCGATTTCAGTCACCGTTCGCTCTTTCATCCAGCCGTTGACTGACCGTGTTTGGGACCTCGGGGGGAGGGGGCGGGCAGTATAGTTTGTTTATGTCACGGTAGCTCGGCTGTCGGGAGAGTAGACGTGCCCGAGACCTCAAGAGGCTGGAATATATATATATATNTAAATGGTAACATGTTATCATTAAGAATCAGAGCCTTTGTTGGTCATATTTTGCATGTCTAATTTTGGCTTCATACAAAACTTTTTAAAATATTTACCACACGTGTCTCATAACATTTTTTTCAGCACAACATAACCAATATGATATGATTAAGAATTAACTACAGTGTCAGCACAGTGGACCCAAAAATGGACGCAAAAATTAAAATCCAGTTCAGAAAATGAATGTTAAGCACAGCTCTTGACGACGCCGTCACTTGACAACTGGGATACATTGTATCATAAGGCGATTTCGCCATTGTGAGAACATCATGTACATGTTGTCATGTAGACAAACCGAGATGGTTTTGTCTACTATACAGCTAGGCTATACGGTTTAACCTAAATAACGATAAAAAGTACAGTATAGTAAATACATAACCCATAAAGGGAGCGTTCATAGAGTGGGGGATACCTGTGCTTTTATAGTAGCTAGTTATAAGTCTGCTTTGATGTTTTCTGAGTGCCTGATTGTGTTACATGCATGTAAGAATTCCTATGTGCTGATGTGCAAAAGGTAAATAAAGGATCTTGAATCTGTATCTTGCATGGAGGTCTGAGAGCAGCAGGCCATGAGGGGGCCTGACGGGGACGGGCAGGATGAGGAGAGCCGGGGCATGGAGCTGGAAAGTCCGGCCGTGCTTGATACCGGTGCTTGAGCTGAAAGGACTGCGGAGATTGAGAGGGGAGGTGGACGCAGAGCTGGTCAGGCGGCTGGAGGAGGGCGACTGCGGCTAGCTGGCAGGATCGTGAGCCCACAAGAGCCAGTTAATTTCCTGACAGGCATTAAAAATTCTCGTGACATGGTGGAGCAGTAAGAGCGGAAAGTGAAAAGCATGCAGTTAAAAGTTACAGTCGACTTTTTTCATCAAAATACTAGCGTTCTGCCTTCCACTTTGTCTTCGTAAAATAACACGTTAAAGTAGTTTTGGATTTCAGGAGAATATCGATTCATGAATTCTGGTTTATTTTAAGGTTGGTATGGAAATCCTCAGGGGAAAACAAGTCTACTAAGAAGGACCAAAGCTTGGATGGGTTATGGTACAAGATGAGAACCTCATCGCCAGAAGGACAAACCCGATATCTCTCATACCAGCCGACGGTCACATCTCAGGAGTGGCGGGGGCCATCTTTGTAATGGGCACAACACAATTAGCTGATGGTTCTATAACCCATTGTACATCACCAATCCATGTGTAACACCTGATTGGCTTGAGCAAGCCTAATATTTAATGTCTCACTGCCTTGGTGGGTCTATTCAGATTGACTTGGCAGATAAATTGCTATTGACTTAAAGTCAACAGCAGCGGTGTGAGATTTAGCCGCAACAATACTTTCAGTCGATAGCGAACAAACGACACATTGTCCAGCTGCATTTTATTGTATGAATAATGGCACAGAAAAGTAGCAGAAAGTTTTGAACCAAAATGATGTTTTGTTGTTGTTATTGTAGCAATTGCTGTACAATTATAATAAAGTTTGCTCTGTCCATTCATCTTCTAGCCACTTATTGAGTACAGGGCTGTGGTGAAAAAGGATAATTGTGAAACATAATAAACCTTTACTGCTACTCAATAAAAATGCAAATATAATGTATTATTATGGAACGTCTGACCAGAAAAAAATCCTACTTGTTTCAATAGTCTGATTGTCAGGTACTAGAAATGTCAAAATCTAAAAAACGTTTCTACATCTTTTTTATTGTTTTTAAGAACGTAAAGTTCGTCGTGAGGACAAAATCGGCATCCAAATGAAAAGGTCGCGGCTAAACCCTTTAAAGTTCACCCTGCCACACGCAACATGGGCCAGTGAACATAGAAGCCTCATAATTACTGCTCACGCTTCACAGCTTAGCAAAAGATCTGAGGCTGCATAAATGAAACCTTCTGTGCAATGTGATACCACATAAAAATAAAGATTAATGCCAAACTAGTGACAGGTACTTAGTAATGCTCAGTGCATAACATACCTTCTGATACATACATATATAATACAGATCTTAGAATATATCTGTCTTCCAAAAGCATATCACTTGTAAACCTAAATAATAATTTTTTTCTGTAGATGACTTGTGACCAATCTGTTGAAATAACTCACCTCTTTTTTATTTTATTCGTCCCTGTTTTCGTTACTCGATGGGAGTTTTAGGCTTAGTTTTCCTTCCTTATGGTCACTGTGCAGTTTGTCACGTGACTGTTGCATCTTCTTTCTTCATCTCTATGCCGAAGTCTCAGGTATCAGACACCCCCCCCCCCCCAGCGTGTGCGGGTCCTCTCTCCTCTGAATCACAGTTAAAAAAAATACACAGGATGCCACAGGAATCCTTACTGCTAGTTTTTGCTCGGTGCACAAAAGTTTTAAATTCTTCCTCTGTGTCACTGGCTGATCTTCTCACTCTTGTCGAAGTCTCTGAGGTCTCTGACCCTGCCTGTATTTTGAGAAATGACTTGTTAATATACCAAACAGTTCCCAGATGCTTCTCAGGAAACAGTTTTGGCCTGTTAGGAATACGGCTATTTAATAAAGATGAATACATTGCATTAATCTGCCTGTAGCTGACACACCGATGACATTCGTTTGAAAGCAGCAGGGAGTCATCGCCTTATTTCAGGCTTTTTGTCGTTCAGGTGCTCCTGAGGCCATGGCAGTGGTGAATCCAGGTTACTCTTGGGGGGGGGGAGACAGTAAAATGGGGGAGGCATTCATAGACAAAACATGAAGACTGTCACAGAAATGTTTTCCCTCCTTTTTAAATGTGACCTGAATTTACTTAACATTTTGATTTATAGGAGAGAGTGATATGGTAGCTGTATGGAGGATCAGCATTTTTTTTGATGAGTTTCAAAATAGCTTTACTATTTACAGATGGAAGACATATTGTTTGTATAATATATGCATTCTTAAAAAGTCTATTAAAACATCGGCATTATAAATTTAATTTTAATTCAATTAATGTTTTTGTACATGTGCTGCAATAAAACGGTGACAGGAAATTAATACATCAGAGACAAAGCAATAATTAGCAGGATGGAAAGCTTCACGCTGCACATTTTGCAACTTACTGCTTTTTGAACCAATATGAATGAAGGTTTTCCCAGCCCCCCAGGACTGTGCAGTGGGCAGAGGCCAGGCTGCAGATTTAGCATTAAAATATTAATCAATCCGCAGTGTTCGACAAATACAAGCGACGCGAAGGGATGTTAAATTACAGCTGATATGAATCCCCGACGCCTGTTATCCGTTTCACCTTCACATGAGCGCGTTTGCAGTCCATGAAAAGCAGCCCGTGAAAGTGTCTTACACGCTTTAGAAGTGTTAGGATAAAACTGGAAATCGTCTTCGCTGTTGGTCAGATTAATCATCTTATTCTTCCATCTCAGTTCGTCATGTTTTGGTACCGATGGCCTGAACGGGACGGTACGCGGTGGTAATGCTGACAAGTTCTTAAAAGGTAAATCCCGAATCTCTCTAAGACCGGTGCGTCTTATGGACAGCTATTCTCAGGCGTAACTGTTAAGTTTTCGCGAAACAGCAAATTGCTGACATCGTCCGGAAGCCCTCGGCCGTGGAGATGAAGCTCACTGCATGTCGGCTGCGGACGCGCGTCTTTCCCCACCGTCCGCGAGTACCGTTATTTTGGTGAATATGTTGCATTCTGTACTTAGAAAATCGCAGCCAAATTTAATAAATATTTTACCGTACCACGCATCTTCACACCGTATCCAAGAGTCCCGCGTTTCGCCTTACAGTCTCCCGGCTGGGTAGTGGAGTGAATCCGGGCCCTAAAAGCACTAAGCTGATACAAGCTTAAATATATGACAATTTAAATAAACAACACGAGAAGCAGGATTTTTAATATTTTGAAATAATTTAATAACTTTCCTCACTATCATAGTTAGGCTTAATTTTTTTTTGCTTAAGGGAAGCACGAGAGATCGTCAGTTTACCTTGACGAAGGCACGTTGCACTTCAATTTTAGTGTGACAGGCTTGTGTATGTATTTTTTTTTAGCTTGTCAGTGTTTA